ACATCCGGGTGGGTTTTCTTGTTCCGGCTGCAACGCTTCACTTGACAACGCATTTTACCTGCTGTGTATCACTTTTAACCTCCTCCTAATCACCAGAATTCACATAATCAAACCCGTTTAATACGAACCCGATAGCTCTAAGCAATATGCAGTAAGATACTTGCTCACAACATACAGTTTACGACAAGTTTGAACACTTCGACGGCAAAACTATATCAACAAACCGAGTGACAAACGCGCATCCTCGCTTGAATGATTCCTTCCATCAACAATTTTTTCAACAAAAAGGAAGAAGAAGAAGACAACCAAAACAAAGCATCTGTCATTTGAGCTGGCTCCTCTCTCTTGGGTCTAAAGAAGTTTCTCACGTTTCGTTCGTTGTTGTAGTTTTCGTTGTTTGGTTTTACTCCAAGTCGGACTGCTTGGGAATCTCAGTCCACCATTTCTGTCCTGAAGCGTGTAGATTTTGTGTTTGGGGAAGAGCTTGACCTGTGATGAGAAACAGGTCGTCCAGTGCATTCGCTCCGGTAGAAAGACGGTTTCTGGTTAGTTTTCATTCGGTTGGAATTAGTGTTTTTCTTTGAATCCCAAGTACTTAACGTCTACTAGCGCGTTCCAATCTTTTGCATTAGACTGAACTCGCCCTGGGGTTTTGAGTTTGCCGGGCATCCGAAACGACAAGTGGTCCTCTATGGAGGTGGCGCCTAAGCCATTTGTTTAAAAACCAATCCACGGAACACTCTAGTAGACCGATTTAGGCTAGCCAACTTTGTGCCGGCTACACTGTCCATGATAGCTTCCTGGAATCGTTTTTTCTGTTGTCTGGGATAAGTCTCCGTAATTCGATCTGGGTGTCAGTGGCATGAGGAATAAACCGTTTATAACTGTTAACCAGTGCGAGAAACCTTCGAAGCTCTTTGACAGTCGTCGGAAGTGGAAATTTGACGACGGCATCGACGCGATTTGGAAGTGGACGTACTCCATCCTTGCTAACCAGGTAACCAAGAAATTCAACACTTCGTTCCGCAAAATGGCTCTTGGCAACATTTATCACAAGTCCGTAAGATCGGAGTCGTTCGAACACTGCTCGTACGTGCTGATAATGTTCCTCCTCCGTCGACGAAGCTATGCAGATGTCGTCTACAAACACCACAACAAAATTCATATCGGCAAACACCTGATGCATAAATCTTTGGAAGGTTTGGCTGGCGTTGCACAATCCGAACTGCATCCTCGTAAATTCGAAAAGCCCGAACGGCCGTCTTCGGAATATCTGATTCTTCCACGGGAATTTGATGGTACGCCCTTTCGAGATCCAGTGTGGTGAAAATGCTTTTGCCCTGAAACGTATTCAACAGGTCGTGGATATGTGGTACGGGATAGCGATCTGGAACAGTTACCTGGTTTAAAGTACGGTAATCACCGACGAATCTCCACTGACCGTTCTTTTTCGGGACGCAATGGAGAGGACTAGCCCAACTGCTGCTAGACGGACGGCATATACCCAGCTCACTCATCACCTGGAACTCCTTCTTAGCAGCGTCTAGTTTGTCTGGGGCGAGGCGACGACACTTGCTTGCTATGGGAGGCCCTTTCGTTTGAATGTAGTGGGTGACATCGTGCTGGATCGTTGTTTTAATTGTAGTTGGCAACGTCACTTCTCGAAATTCAGTCAATAATTCTCGGAAAGGATGATCTAGCGCGACCACGGTTATGGTGTGAACAGTTGTGTCTATTATACCCCCAATAGAGGATAATTTAGTAAGTCCGTCAATCAACCGTCGGTGTTTAAGATCGACGAGGATTCCGTACGACGCCAGAAAATCTGCTCCAATAATCGCAACACCTACATCACCAATCAAGAAGCGCTAATTGAATCTCCGACGTAGACCAAGATCGACCGTGAGAAATCGTTTATCGTAAACTTTAATTCTGAAACAGTTTGCAGCATGGAGGTCGAAAGGTGCTGTTCCATTCGAACGCTCACGAATTGAAGCTGGGAGAATCGAAACATCCGAACCGGTGTCGATAAGAAACTTTGTGTTGCTGGTACGATCGAATATCAAAATACGGCGACTTTCCGGAGCTCCGTCCACCCCCGCCGATTCGGGTGAACGGGAGTTTAGTTTTTTTGTTACTAAACTGGCACGGGTCTCGACACTTGAGAGCGCGACCACCGAATTTGCGATGAAACCAGCATATTTCGAAATCGCTTGCATTTCGACTCGAACGTGATGTCGAACGGCTACGGGATGAGCGGTTTGCCTTGATGTGCCTAATTTCGGTAGTGAGAGCCGCGATTTGGCCTCGCAATTCTTCCATATCGTTGTTTCCAGTGGGCATCGACGCAGCTGCGACGTGGGACAACGAAGATTCCAACATTTTGTCGGCCATTTCCGCCAATTTACCGATAGTTCCGTCACTGATGGTGAGAATGGCTTTAACGTTTGGGGGCATTCTCTGAAGAAACAACATTTTCAAGAGCTCATCGGTTACGTTTAATCCTGCTGCCAGCTCTTGCATTTTTGCGAGCATATGTGTTGGCCGCATATCACCCAAATCGCAGGAACTCAGCAAACGTTCCAACCTTCCTTCTGCAGACACTTGAAAACGCGAGATCAAACGATTCTTCACCGCACTGTACTTATTTTCCGCCGGCGGATTCGACACTAAGTCCGTTACGTGGCAAATGACCGATTGGTCGATTTTGGCCACAATGTGATAAAATTTCGTATCGTCTCTAAGAACATTCGCGAGGGCAAACTGAGCCTCTGCCTGTGCAAACCACATGACAGGATCGTTCTTGCAAAAGTCCGGAAGTTTTACGGCGACGCCAGCGTTTTCGTTCGGGTTTGCCATTTTCGTTGAAGAAATGTATGGAAACGTTATCCAGTCGGTTCTTCTCCGTCGGGGTCACCAATGTGGGGCGCGAGCGCGGACCGCGAATAAATAAAACGAATAAAACTTGTTGTTTTTAATCGACAATCTCAAGGAGCTCTTTATTGTCTCACCTGTTTTACAACTCTGACACTTTCTCTTTTTCTCTGTTCGCTCACGAGGGGTGCGCTGATTGAAAGCAATACCAAGCACCACAGCAGGAATGAGTAAACAAATAATCTAGACAAAAAAGTAGAAGGCAAGGCAGGTTGCAGAAAGTAATTACTAAATTTACTACTGAAACATTATCCTAAATACACTGGAGTCGCTTTCTACGCGGTTTTTTTTACACGGTTTTTTTTACGCGGTTAGTGCCGCTGAGCCGCAATTTACGCGGTACGTTTTTAACGATTTCTCAACAACGATACAACCTATCGACTTGATTCCAATCACATTATCCGTTTCAAGCTATAGGTAATCGAATGGCATAATTTTTAAATAATCATAATTTTTGGTGTAAATACAGAAATTTTTAAAATATGTCTATATGAACCATAACGTGCTATAATAATGAATGGCATCAAAATCCGATTTATAAAAAATATTTAAGCATGCGACTCCAGTGTATCTAAATTCCTTAGTGCTTATTTCTAAAATTATCAGGTAATTGGCTTAATGATAAAATTAAGTGAAATTTACTTAATCTAATATGTTTTTGGACAGGAGAGCATATGATAAATGGATTGCATATTTCCAACCTAAAACTAATATTCTTAAAACTACATTGTTTAAGGTAATTGAATCCTGCTGAACTTATACAACTATTTATAACTAAATTTATTATAGTACGGTTAATTAGTACGGCAACGAAGAGGTACACTGCCCATAATCGCATATCAGTCCCATATGGATATGAAATCAAGCAAAGATGGGACTGATATGCGATTATGGGTAGTATAGACATACCATCAGGCACACAAAATACATAGTACGGAACTAAACGTAAGTTTATGCATGAAAACATGTTTTAAAAAAAAAACAGCATAACACACATAAGCAAATGATTTAGTTCTTGGTTTAGCTGCTAGATAACTGTTAAAATGAAGCATATTCTTTTTAGGATAATAATAATCTTCCGTACAGTAAATCAACCCCAGTACCGGTCGTTTTATTCCCGAGATTATTATTGCGGAATTTACTGAAAAGTTGGCAATTTTCCAACAGGTGAAATGTAATAACTTGTTATAGGGGAATTTACGTATTCTCGTCAATCTAAGCAGTGTCCACACTTCTATTAGCATTTTCTCAGCGTCACGCACATATATGACGTGTCTGTTGGTTTACATTCATCTGCTGCTTGCTTCTCTATCCGTTTTAATCGACAGAATTCTTCAAAACTGTTTGAAAGCGTTTTTACAACGCTCCAAACTTCTCAGGTTAGTGTGACTATTGTCGGCAGCCTCGGTTTTCTTCGGCAACCTTCCCATTAGAACTGCGTGTTAACCAGCTGTTCTATTATCGGCAACTTGAAATCAACCCCATTTTAGAGTACGTATGCTTCATTTGAATAAAAATCTGCCATAACAGGACTGCTCAGACGTACACATACAATCAGATTGAAGCTGAAAGACTAAAGAATCGTTTGGATGCATTCAGGGAAGTGTGTTGATGGGAAAACATAGTGAAATTAACGTTTAAATTTTGGTTGCCGAAAACAGTCAATGGGTGCCGAAGCCAACATTTACCCTATATCGTTTGAAAGCTGAATAAATACCCTTTCGTTTGACGTTTTGATCAACCGTGTATGATGTTTAATTCTTGAGTTATAATCACTTGATTGCGTCCAAATTTACTTTGAATCGGGCTTTATGTATACCACTTAAAATTCCATCAAAGTTTCAACATTTGAAGTTCATCTTCTACATATGTTAAGTGATAAAGTCCTATCTTTATTTTCGTGATTTTGATAAATATATCGGGCAGATATCAAGTTACGGAGGTAAATTTTGGAAATTTGTACGGGAAAAGAAGTCAAAGTAGCCAGGATATATATCGCGTAAGGAGAGATCGACCAAGGCAGAGTTAACTAAACTAACGAAATACCGAAATCTACGCTCACTTACCTGGACCGACATACAATGACGCGGGAGACGCCGCATGCGTCTGATTGCCCATCCCGCGCTGTTGTGGACTGGCAAACGGATTGGCATTCAACCTCCCGCCGTTGCTGTATCCGGATAGATTGTTCTCGTTCTTGAACGGTGAAAATAGCACTGTTGGGGCGGAAAATATACGAGAAATGGGAGAAATCTTAATATATTGGTTCTAGGTAGGATACTCTGGGTTTTAGTGCAAGAATAAGTTATCTGCGAGGTACTTACACGTTGCATTGGGATCGACCGTTTTCTGGCGCTGCGGAAAGCAGAACACAAATACTGCGAACATAAAAGCAAAACAAAGATATTGGTCACAAACCTCGAAAACGTAGACGAATGATAATAAATTAACAAGCTTACCCCAAACGGTGGCAGCCAGAACAATGATGGCCGATATCAGCAGTCCAAAGTTGCTGACATAGTTAAGGAACATGTTTGGCACGTTGTACAACGGTTGACTGGCACATTTCCGCATCACAAGCGGGGATTGGATCGGAACCTGGATCGGAAAATAAAGCACGAGATTAAATTCAAAGATCCAAAATCTTAAATGAATACTAATCTTACCTTCAGCTTCTGCAGCGTCAGTGGTGAGTTCACGTTCACGTACAGATCCTCGCTGGACTCCAGTGAGTACGATCCGAGCAGACGCAGCTTATATTGAATGGATCCCGGCCCTTTCTGAACCATAGACACTTCCAATAGCGATGGATTCGAGGAGGACACTTCAATCTTTTGCAATACTTTATCCATACCATTCACCGTGACAATCTGTTTTCCGACCTGCTCGATGGAAATGGCCTCCGGGTCGACGATAACTGCCGGAACGATCTTCAGTGTGGACGTATCCGACAAGCCACTGCCGAGTAGACGAGCTTCCAACTCAATGTTCAGTTCGTTAGTTTTGATCAAGTTGGTAACTTCCTCAATGGACGTTATCAGGTCGATGTCACAGGTGTACGCCCCGATGGTAGGGTCGAAGCTAGCCACGGTCTTGAAATGTTTCAGAATTCCGGAAGAAGGATTCTGCTTCGAGGTCAGTTTACAACTAAACAAACTAGAGAACGATCGTTCAATGCTTTCCGTGCAAATAGAAACGTTCTGAGCGATTACGTTGACAAACTTATCGATCTGCAGGTGGTTCTTGATCACCAAATGTCCCCGATACTTCTGTCCATTGAACACGTCGTAGGATTTGAAAAATTCAATCTGGTCAGCTTCCAATACGTCAATTCCAAACCGCAACCCTTCAGAGCGATGTTCGCCATGGCTGATGAAGACCTTCTCTTCGCCTCCAACGATTCCCTTTCGTGAAGAAACGATCTTGGCTACACCGGTAGCCGAGTCAATGCGTACCAACCCTTCGTCCGAGCTGGACCAATCCGCAGCCGATCCCAGCAGGGGAGATTCAAAACAAACGATGTCACCCACCGAAAACACCGTCTTCTCCGGGAAGATCGCCGTCGTTTCTCCGACCACCAACTTCAGGTAGTCTTCTCCATGTTTTACACCGGTTGTGTCTTTCAGAGAGATTAGCAGCATATCCGACGTCTCCCGAATCAGCTGCAAAGCGACGGAATTGTTCGTTCCCGTTGTTATCAGCACGTTTCCTCGTTTCGAAAGCTTATGTTTCAAAGTCGTAACTTCCTCTATTCCGTGGGAGAACTCATTTCCCAGATTATCATGCAGAGATACCTTCAGTCTCAGGCTCAACCCCTGCGGGATGACACTCTCCGGTTGGCGCAGCTTTATGTTCGAAGCTTCCAACGACGTCAAAATGTAGTGGACGTTCTTAACCTCTACCGGAATGGTCAACGATTGATCGAACGACGAGGCCACGATCTGAACTCGTCCAACTGCATCGCCACTCTTCACCAGACCCTCCTTGGAAACCTTCACCACCGAGCTGCTTCCTTCTTCCAGTTGATAAACGGCGTCGTCTAAATTTGCCTTCAACTGCACGTTGGATCTCGGTGGGACCAGGATCGAATCATGTCGAATTACCTTCGGGGACTCCAGCTCCAACACCCGGAACACCGTAACTTCCGTCTTCGCGGTCAATTTCACCCCTGCAGCCGTCACCAACGTCACGTACAAACCGGCCCTACCCGGTGCCAACGCCTTCACTCTAACTCCGATCGCATCCCGCTCCTTGTACTCGACTCCAATCTCCTGGAACACTCCCCGAACATCCAGCACATCCTCATGATCCGTGGACCAGTAGATCTTCACCGACTCCAGCGTTCCCAGAACCAGCGGCGAAATGCTCGGAACGCCCCAAACATGTGCCGGCATGACAGCTCCGGTGCGGATCCGACCCAACGGCGTTTTAATCTCGATGGCATCCAGCGGGATGACGTGAATGTGAACCGTGTCTTCGGAGAACACGATCTGCGCTCCGGTGCTGGGGTTTACGCCAACGCAGCGCCCGGTGACCTTGGAATGACCGATTTTCAAGCCCGACACCAGTCCCGATTCGATGGAGATGATGTCTTGATGTTGGGCGCTGTAGACGATGTTGGTGTCCGGGGAGGGACCTCCCTTGGAGTAGACCTGCAGGCTACTGCCGACTACGATGGTGGCGTTGCGCGGGAACAGGGTGAGCGGTGGGAAGACCTGAAAGTGAAGCGGGAAGCGAGAGGAATGTGAGTTAGTATTGTGATTGTAGGGCACAGAAAAAGCAGGAGCGCGCAGTTCCACGCCAACTGACGGATCGATTCCATTCGAATTCCATGGAACTTTGGCAAATTGTTCGCTAGGGGTAATAAACCAAGTTTGTGCTGAATTTCGGCCATTTTGACTATCGCTTAATTTTTGAAAATGGCGTTTGGCGTATATTTTTCAATAAATAATAGCACGAACATGGCTCATCTACTTGTAGAGAACTGGTTTGCCTTTTCAGAAAAAATACACACTGAAAAAAATCTCAAATTTTTGACAAAAAATTTAAAAACTTCAACAGCTAAAAATATTTATTTTAATATATTTAAACTTTTGTTTATTTGAAAGCTTATCAAAAATGCGAACTTTTTAGAAATCGACACAATGGACATTTAAAAATTGACAAAAATCGTAGAACCTCAACTTTTAGTAAAAAAATTGATTTTTTTTCACGTGGTGATATCAGAATCAAATATTTAAGAGAATATTTTACCTTCTCTTAAACATGAACAGTTCTTTCGAAGACTTTGGAATATTTCTAAATTCTATTATAGCATTTGAATGTTTGATGAGAAATCAGAATCTAATATCAGAATTCCAGATATTTCTAGATAGAGCTGGAATTAGCGTAACAGCTTTTGTAAACAATGGCTTCTCTCGATGATTTCTAGAAATTCATGACCCTCCCTGGCAAATCGACATCACCATCAAGTGGGGAAAGACTTCCCCTATCCGATGGATATGCTGGTTTGCGTAGGAGTGCCTGGAGTATCTAGAAATCAACGACAGAAGTCATTGTTTACAAAAGCTGTTACGCCCTAATTCCAGCTCTATATAGATTTAATCATTTCAGAAGTCGTCTAGACACAAAGTAAAAAAAAAAACTGGCTTTAAAACCTGAGTAGTTACAAACGATTCGGGGTTTCCTTAACCTCAATCTACCTGTGCACCAACTCTCAAAACATAAACAACTATCAAAATATTGCTTGCAATGGATAGATATCGAGTAAACTAGAAGATTAAATGTATTTTTCAACCGATTCGAGTATGAATATGGCATTAAATCTGGTTTTGAAAGTTGGTGCACAGATAAAAAGTGAGGTTATGGGACGCCGCTGAGCTAATGTTTATAGAAATATGTACAATGACACGACTTTCTCGACATGGCTGATGCGATATTACAATTAATAACTAATCCTACCTGAACCGAAGCCGGCGAACTCGAGATCTGCTTCTCGCCTGATCCAGAATTGACCACAATCTTCGTCTCACCCAGCTCCATTCCGGTTACAATGTATCTACAAGAAAATAACAATCAAATTCAACTTCCAATCCCCGACCAACAAGCCAGCAAACCCACCGAATCTCTCCGGTTCCCAGCTGCCCTTGGCTGCCCAGTGCCACGCTCAGCACGTTTGGATTATAAGCCTCCTGACTGAGCTCGTATAGCTCCAGGTTACCTCGCTCTAACTGCAGCAGCCGATCGTTGCTGTCGTAGACCCTTGCAATCGCTTCGATCGTCTTGGTCTTCTCCACCCGATCCGGGGCGTGCAGAGTAATCCTACCGATTGTAACCACCGAAACATACAGGAAGCTCGATTCCGTACTCAAACACTGATCAGCCACCTCAAGCTTCACTTCCCCGACCCGCTTCGGTGTGATGACCAACTGCCGGGTGGCATCGTCGTACTCGACGGCCACGATTCCACTGTCCGACGCTAGAATATCGTAGAATCCACTTCCCTGAGCGATCTTGATCCGTTCCACGTTGCTTCGGGACAGGAACAGGGTTAGCTGTTCGTATGGGAGCAGGGTCTTATTGACCGACAGGAAGTTGAGTTCGTTCTCGATGACCGGCTTAACGAGGGGTCCATCGGCGGTTTTGTGAATGCCAAAGTGAGGTGATTCCGGCTTGACCGAGTGCTTCTTGAGGACTTCCGATCGGTACTGGGTGACGGTTGCCTTAATTTTGTAGTTGGCTTCCACCTCCGGGAGAGTCGTCAGAATGAAGTCCCGTTTAGGGATTTCTACTCCCTCGAGCAGATCGGTTTCGGTTTTCTGTTCGTAAGATACTTGATCCACAAACTGATCCCGATCGGCCAGGGTAAATTGCCATTCCAGCAAGAGGGATGAGATGTTGGCCAGTTTTCGGTTGTGCACGTCCAGAACTTCGATGTCTACGAGCAGCTGGTCGTTGTCGGATTTGACGTGCATCATCGAGTGGCGCCGCTCCAGCGGACAGCTTGTCTTGACTTTGTCCGTCGTGAACAGATTGACGAAGCGTGGTTTCACGCAGTACACCTTGGTGACAAACTCCGTTACGTACGGGACCACGTTGGCGGCGTTCAGCGAGTTGAAAACCTCCAGTTTCAATTCATATTCGCCAATCTTTTTACACAACACCGTCAGAATATGTTTATCCTTGGAAAAACCACTGCCCACTTGAACCACTTCCAAGTTCTTCTGATCGAACACCACCCGTTTCTGCAACTCCGCTTCCGAATTGAAGACCCTCTCCGGTCCATTGTGATAGATCAAATTCCTAGACGCACCAATCGGCAGAACCACCTCGTTTTCAATCGGATTCAAGATCGCCAGTCGGTCGAATACATTCAACCCAACCTGATCGCTGAGAACTTTGTCAAAGTATCGGTAGGTCACTTTAAGATTCGTCTGTCCCACGGCATTTGCCTTCAGGTACAAAATCCGACACGCATTATCAGCCAGAACGTCCTTGGCATTGTTCTTCGCCGGATCCAGCAGGAAGATTTGATTGCTAAACTCCAGTTCAAAGTTCAAGCTTTCGCAGGATGTGAACGCCTTCATCGTTCCGTTGTGCTTGGCCCACAGCGCCACATGAACCTGAACGTAGTCCTTGAGCACGGTTTCGAAATTGTACCGAACCACTTCCAGCTTGATCGGTGGCAGGAACACGACCTGTGCCGCCACAGAAATCTTGGTGTTGCGAGCCAGTGCCACACGGACTTGGGTTATTTTAGCACTGGTTTCGCCATCAACTCCGAATGATACTACAGCACCACCTTTTAGGTGATCGAGCCGGGTTTCGGCTAAGCCGGTTTGCGCCACCGATACCAGGGAACTGTCCAAGCTGGACCACAGATAGGACCCGTCGCCTCCGGATGCCGTAAATTGGAGCTTCTGCCGGCGGAGGGCCGGGTCGTACGGGATGATCACCACCGTTGGGTTGATAGCTAAGCGTTTGTACACGATCAGTTCGGCTTTTGCGGTTAGCTAGTGAGGAAAAGACAAGAATTAGAACTTGGCCATTTAAGAATTTAAATATTTTCACCTTATCAAACTGTCCAGTAACGGGTCTACTTCCGCTTGCCACCGTCTCACCAGCAATGCGGCTTCCATTGCTAGTCCTCCGGATCGGATAGTACAGTGCCTCATCGAAGCTCGACTGAATTTGGTACTTCGATCCCAGCGTAATCTGATGGTCATCCGCCGTGAACAGATCCAATGCAATCTCGTGATTCTCGCCTTCCACCGTCACCCAGTTGTAGTGGGGCAGCAGATTGAGGGTCAACTTTTTCGGATCGGCAACCGTAATCGATGCCTTCGGGAGCAGTGCCTTGGCCGATTGATCGTCGCTCGTCAAGTCGTGAGGTACGTTCCGGTCTCTCAGCAGAACAAAGGTCCTTCCCAGTTTCAACCCCTTTGCCTCGTTCCCCTTGATGGTGGCCAACGCGCTGTCTTCAATTTCCAAATAATACTGATTGTTCAAAGCGATTTCGTGCAGCTTTCCCTGCTTCAACTGCAGCACCTTGAAGTTGACCGTGTCTCCCGTCATGATGTAAACGTCGCTCGGATCCAAAATCAAGTTGGCCAGTACCATAATGTTAACCTCAACCGGCGACACGTGACTGTACTCTGCATACGGAAGCTTTGCCGTTACCCTTGCCGAACCAGTATTGATACCCTCCAGCAGAACCATATAGCCCTGAACCTTGGCCTGTTCCAGCCTCTCGATCGCCTTCGGAACCACATGGAACTTACTCTCGGAGAAGGTCAAAAACCGCAATACCTGACTCCAGGCACTCTCCGAATCGCCGTGACGAAAATCTACCGCCCGATGGGACGCCAGCTGCCAGTTAAATTCGATTCCTTCCAGTGTCGTAAATGCATTACCCTGATCATCCAAAGCCCACAGTTCGAACGTTTCCGGGGCCTCTTCCAAATACAACTCCCGAGTCGTTGTCAACACTCCCAACTGGTCAATCACATCCAAAATAACATCGCACCTAAGCACTTCCCCCGTCACCAAATCCTCCGCCAGCACAATCGCCGTATTCCTGCGCTTTTCCTTATTGATCACGGTGACCACCACCCGGTAGGAGCAGTCATCATTCGTTTCATCGTATGCGGGTTTAATCTGAATCAGATCCAACCGGGAAGAAGTCCTACGAAATACAAAAAAAATATGATTTCAATACTTTTCCTCGCCGTTTAGGTAATCCGTGACATCATCGGAACGAAAATAAACACGAGGCAGACGACCTCGACGGAAGCGAGTTTGTTGACTTTTCTTCCAGCTGGTGATGTCTCGAGCCACAGAGCCTCGGATCCAATATTCCCCAACACCGAACCATTCACAGAGAGGTTAGAAAAAGTCGAAAGCCGGCTCTTACCATTTGAAGCAGCCTTTCTCCACCACTTCGAGGGTAAAGTTGACCGAAATGTGATCGAAGATTGGCAGCAGAACGCGTGGGTAATTCAGCTTCGTTGCCGTTCCCGTCGAAGCCAGCGCCAGTAGCGCTAGCAAGAGGGAGGAAAATCGCATTTTCCTCGTCGGTTTCCGTCGATAGTGCTCACCGATTGCAGACAGGCAGCGTGATTTGCAGCACTTTATTTCGGAAAATAAAAATTCACGTACATTCAAGAAGATAAAATTTGTTACCGTTCCGCCCGTCGCGCGTCGCAGTTTTGAGAAACTGATGGGAGTATCGCATGTAAACAACACGAAAAGCGGCTAAACGCTGACGGTTGGAAATCGATCAACGTGCCCCAGCGGCCGAAAATTGTCGATGAAAATGGGTCGTTCCAAAATTACGACTAGAAAAATTAATGAGCCTGAATTTATAAAGAGACGACATCTTATCCATTTGACAGGTCTTCTGCTCGATTGAAATGACTTTTCCTATGACTTTGACAGATAATCGATTGTTTCAATTTTGACATATCGCCTCTTTATAAATTTAGGCTCTTTAAGAAAAATCATATGCATATACATTAGAAATACTCAGAGGGAGAGATAGGCGGAGAAAACAAAATAAAATTCGGCAGCAGGGATTTGTACCAACAATCAATACGAAACTAACGATTTTAAATTGGCTCACTACTTAACTAGCCTATTGGTCCCAAGCAAACGATTAACGTATCCCATTCTAGTCGAAATTCTAGAACTACGCAATGTTTGTTTTGATTCACTATGAAAGTTTGACAGATAAAATGAGGGGTTATTGGTTTTTCCTATGTTTCGAGGGGTGAATCGATTAGCTTGGGACCAAAGAGAGTACCAGAGCTGAGCCAAAAAGTTGAGCACGTTATTTCGGGACCTTCTAGTCTTAGAGTTACCTCTATGTTTGTACCTAAATTATCTTGCAACCCTTGGTAGAAGCCAGCATTTCACATGACTTTTATTTTTGATTCGATTTACGTAAAAAATAATAATTGATTGCATCGCAATATTTTGCACACTTCTTGGTGCCATTAATTAACCAACTAAGACCAATTAATCAATAGAGTTCGAATATTGTTTTTGATTCCAAAAACTAGTTGAATTTGAGAAGCGCACGAAGCATAGAGGTGATTGAATTTCTGTTCGATTGCAATACTCTCATATTTAATCTAGTAAGAATAAGAAATCATTTGACAAATTCTAATAAGAATGTTCGATTGGCTCACATTTTGGCAGTTCATTTGGCTCAAAACATCTCTCCCTTTGAGTATTTCTAATATACATGTATATCAGAGGCGAAAGTCTCTCTAATACACAGAAAAAAAAGTTGTTGAATTTTACATCCAAACTGTTGCAACCAGATCAATCCATCGGTTGTGTAATATAACGTTGTACGATGTACATCAATTTTGCGAACAAAATTACATCCATTGATGTAATATTGTATCTGCTTTTTGCTATTACATCATTATTTCATACATCAGCTTGAATTATACCATAGAGGTAACTCTAAAACGCTGTCCAGACTGGAGAGTTATAACATGTTATAACGGTTGTCAACTAATTGCAACACAGAAACCACCATCAAGATAGCGCTATAACATGTTATAACTCTGTAGTCTGAACGTACTATAAGACTAGAAGGTCTCGAAATAACATGCTCAACTTTTTGGCTCAGCTCTGGCACCATAGAGGTAACTCTAAGACAAGTAGCTCCCGAAGAAATGTGCTCATCTTTTTAGCTCAGCTCTGGTACTATCTTCGGTCCCAAGCTAATCGATTCACCCCTCAAAACATAGGAAAATCCACGAACCCTTCATTTTATCTGTCAAACTTTGTAGCGGTATTCGAATTAGATATTAAATTAATGTAGCATGAAGTTCAAATGCTACAAATGTTCACTGTTACTATTCGAAACGACACGCACTATCCCAGTTCACTTGTATGCAACTGGTGAACTCATATCAAGAGTAAATTATCCCTGCATGAAATTTCACTCATTACTTGTTCATCCGCTCACTAGGCGCGTAAGTTTTCTCATTTGAGGTGGCATGAAATTTGATCCGTGGGATTGAGTATAATCTCCCAGTAGGATTACTTGTCGTCGGAAATTTAATAATAAGAAAAACACTTTAAGTTAAAGATTGGAATGAGCTAGACAGATGTGGGATACTTGGGAGGAAAAGAGATAGTATCTCTGATCGAATCGGAAGGTAATCGGAGATCGCCTTTTGATAAGATCGTTTTTTCGGTTTCCGGAACGAAGGCCAAGAATTGTTTTAGCGGCCTTTCTGAGGAATCCCAAGATCTTTCTCGTCCACTTTAATCCAACCCGTGGAAGAGGCAGGACTGTGAAGTTTTTTGGTATAGTTTCGCGGTGTGTTTGTAGAGGTATATTTAAATGTGAGAAGTGTCTTTAAGTTCAGTGTAATTAATTGTTCGTTAATTCCTTTTGATTAGGTGTAGTTACTACTGAATAAGTTTAGTAGGCTAGTGCGGTACTGTGCGCGATTTAAGTTTCAACAAAAAGGTAAATGATTTACTATGCGGTTTTGCAACAATGCGCTCATCCAGTTGTACAGCCGTTTGACGGCTTTTTGTCTCTAGTTTCGTCCCACCACCTCCCGCTCGGCATACCGCGCCCTGCGTTATTACCACTACCCTGACCCCACGCGTCGGAATTAAAGGACCTAACTACGGCCGGAGTTAGAAGGGAGCTGCGCCGTCAATATCGCGCTCCAGGTGAGCAATTTTCCCACCCACCGGGATATCACCACGAAAAGCAGTTGGTGAATTAGAGAATCAAGACTCGCACCCAATTTGGTGAATCTTTTGTATTCCGTGCAGCGAGCGTCGCAGGGGCGACAGACGATGGTGAGGAGCAGTCGGTAAAGCAGAAGCGTGAGTAGAACCGTACAATGTCCGCATGCATGCATTAAATCTGGATGAAGCGCCAGTTATAAATAGCCATTTAGAAATCCGCACAGTTAGGTAGGGAATTAGAGAGAGAGTAAGAGAAGAATGAGGGTTCCCGGATAAAAATGTTAGATAATAAAATTTTCGTTCTATTAGTTTTTTCCTAAATAAATGTTTTTCTATTCTGCTAAATAATTGTGTTGATTGTTAGGTTAGAATTTCCCGTTCAATGAGTGCACTGGTCTAAAGAAGTTTCTCACGTTTCGTTCGTTGTTGTAGTTTTCGTTGTTTGGTTTTACTCCAAGTCGGACTGCTTGGGAATCTCAGTCCACCATTTCTGTCCTGAAGCGTGTAGATTTTGTGTTTGGGGAAGAGCTTGACCTGTGATGAGAAACAGGTCGTCCAGTGCATTCGCTCCGGTAGAAAGACGGTTTCTGGTTAGTTTTCATTCGGTTGGATTTAGTGTTTTTCTTTGAATCCCAAGTACTTAACGTCTACTAGCGCGTTCCAATCTTTTGCATTAGACTGAACTCGCCCTGGGGTTTTGAGTTTGCCGGGCATCCGAAACGACAAGTGGTCCTCTATGGAGGTGGCGCTTAAGCCATTTGTTTAAAAACCAATCCACGGAACACTCTAGTAGACCGATTTAGGCTAGCCAACTTTGTGCCGGCTACATTTGGCGCCCAACTGCAGGTCTCAAAATTTTGAGAATATTTGCGTATTGGCAAATTGTTGATGAATAAAATTTAATATTTGGTTAATATAAAGTGAATCGTTTCGATAGTTTACGTAGTATTGCATGTAGAGTGAACTTTTTAAAAGAAAATATTCGTTTTGTTGTGAATTTGGGAATTGTTTCGTGCAGTGTATTACACTATAATTTTTTTTAAGTACCGTGAAATTTAACGGAAAATATTCAACATGGCTACCAGGTTTCCTAGAGTAGATCATTTAACCAGTGAAGAAGTGGATTACGAACTAATTATTCGTGGAAAAAAAGAAAGCACAAAAGATGAACTTAATGATAAATATCGATTACTTAGAAAGTTATTTCACGAAGATGCTAAAGGAAATAGGACTTACTTTTTTTTTTTTTTTGTTTATTAATTTATTTGATAAGGCTCAACCGAATTAACTTTACAGAGCCGAGGATTCTTGGTCACTATACAATACATCTTAAAAATATAGTCAAAAGGTACAACACAATAAACACTTTATCTTCCGCTATCCAAAAAGCCTCCTCCATCAGAACTGGAGCCGCTTCCAGTAGTTTCATTGTATGGCAAATTGTTGTACGCCAACGAGGGCCAGAGCGCGTCCATTGCAGTAATGGACGCAAAACGTGGTCAGCACTCACACACTCATCACGAAACGGTTGCTTTCCAAAGTCGACGACGCATCGACCGAAAGAACTGCTGATGAAGAACAATGAGGAGGACCACACAATGGTTGCTGCCGAGAAAACAGACGATCGCGTAGCACACATCGAGAGTGGCCTGCTTTTGTCGACAGCCGAGTGAACCAGGACTTACTTATGTAGTTACACGATTGACCAACAATATGACTATATTGCCAACAAAATTGACATGCTTGCTAGAAGATTGGAGAAAGGTCGGGACGAGAGGAGTATTTCAAGATTGAAACATTATTTGATGAGGGTAGAGCGTTGTGTGGCAGAGGATTCTAGATCTGTGATGATGCGAGAAGATTTGACAAGAGAAATTAAAGGATTTTTGTTACAATTTGACCGTAACAACCCTAGCGCTAACGAACAGAATGGACAAGAAGAGGGAGCGGTAGGTGGAGAAGTGTTACAAGACACAAATAATTTCAATGGTACAGGTGCAATTCCCAAGGAACAGGGTGGATCACAACAGACACAGAATACAAAAGATTATGAGTTCCTGATAAACCAAATTTATAAATTAGAGCAGGAATTGGCAGAAATGCGAGAGAAGCAACAAAGGCAATGTTCGCCAGGGTACCCCAATAGTCGAGGAAACTCAGAAAGAAGGTCTATGAGCAGGGAAAGGGAACAGGATCGTATGAATGGTAGAGGTGGACGAAATCACAGGAACAATAATGAACGAGGAAATAACCGGAGCCACACTGGTAGTGAAACAGAAATAATAACAGCAGACAGGCGTATGGAGAAATGGCATCTATCATTTAGTGGTGATTCGCGTCAACGATCGTTAGAAGACTTTCTTCATAAAGTCCGTAGGCTTGCTAGAATGGATCATATAGCAGAAGATATCTTACTTCAACGTATTCACACTATTCTGAGAGGCGAAGCTTACGATTGGTATTTA